GAGGACGCTCCCAGCAGGGCGTCGTAGTGGCTCTCGTGGATGAAGCGGGTCAAGGGGTACAGCAAAACGCGCAGCACGACGGCCGTGGTAGCAAAAGCGAACAAGAGGAAATACTTGAGCAGCACGTTTGTGGATACCAAGACAGTCGCCAAGGCACGGAGGCCTCCTCTCAAGTTTCTTCTGCCGGGGGCACTGTCAAAAATGGTGCCCGCTACTCTGAGGTTCTGAAACGGCTTGTGGGTGCGAAGCGCCTCGATGACGTAGCGGTACAGCATGGCACCACCATTGCTAAAGACGTGGAAAAGAAGCGGTCTGTTTTCAATGCTGTAGTCAAAGAGCAGCTCCAGGAGTCGCCTGGCTGGGGTCTGGAGGGATTTGATGCCAAAGGTCTCTGAGAAGAATATCATCCTCCACGGAGCCGTGTAGCGGATCACGGGGCACCCCTAAGGACAGAAAGAGGCCCCACACACATTTAAGCTGTGCTGTAAATTACGTGGAGTAGGCAAGCATCAGTGCAAAAAAAAGCATCAGGAAGAGAAAACCATCTCCCTGACTCACAAACTTCTATTATCAGCCATTTCGCTAAGCAGGGCCTGCTCTGGCACACATTGAAACAAACGTGAGGAGGAGAAGGAACTTGCTGTCCTCGGGCAGTCCCTGTTTGTGGCCGTCTCTGAGACTCACCCACAATCAACACCGCCGTAATTTTCATGAAGCGCTGCAGCTGTGCAAGTGAAGAGCTCTGGTTCAGAGACTGAACGCCTGAGCAATTGCCTCTACAGTTAAGGCTTTGCATTTGGGTGTAGACTAGGAAAGAGGATCTTGGAGAGGTTTCTAAATGAAGCAGAAGGAACTGCATTTATAAACGCTTCAGATCTTTTCCATCACCTAAGCTCACGGACGTTACACACTGAAACACACAGCAAAGCCACCATGAGAACTCCCCAACAGTGAGTGAGGAAGAGGAGGATATCAAGTTCTTAAGTCAGAGTCTTCTATACCATCTTGCCATGGTTGCAGCCACTTCCTCATCAGGGAGCTAAGAAAACTCCTCTTCTGTTTTCCCATTCCTGTCACCTTTCTGACGGAAAAGTATTTCCACGAGAGTTGACGTGCTGCCACAGAACACACTCCTCATCTGATCGGCAGCATCTCAGTCACAACAGCCACATAACAATTAATTCTTCGCTAGCACAAGCCAATTCGTGACTCTTGCACCGGATTACACATTAACAATAGGCTTGATAACATATAAACTTTGCCACCTACAGCTGAAACAGATTGGGATAAAACAAGATCCTTGTACACTGACCAAAAAAAATAAACCTAATGTTTCACCGGGTCCCCATACTATAAGCTAGGGTCATTCTGGTAAAATACAGTATTAGAAAGGAAAATATCACAACTTAGGGAACTAGGAATTGGACAGACCTCTCCAGTTCAAACACAAGGAGTTCCGAGTGAGCAGGTACAACTACCACAGCATGGCTGCTTCACAGGCAGAATGAAATGAATCTGGATTACAACACTGAGATGAATCATCTGCATGGGAAGGAGGAGCCGAAGGAACGTGCTCTGTCAGTCCCCAGCCTGGTCTTGCCAAGCCTGTGCTGTGGTCCATTAGCAATCAAAAACACGTCACCTTTTCCCGCATGTTAACCTGCTTGGAAAGCTAAAACGGTCCACGCCATTCCTGAATAACTTCACAACTTTAAAAACCTTAAAACACTTCGGTGATTCACACAACATCAGCAGGTTTCTCCAGGGAGGTATTTCTGTCTCAGCTGCACACACAAAGATGACATCAGCAGCCCTCAGACAGCGCTGCCTGGGCTCCACAAGGAGCTTTCAATGACAGAGACCTTGCTGCTCACACCCAATGACTGCTCACACCACGAGAGGCTTTAGAGTGATTTTTACCAACGTGCAGAAGAGAGGTGGTTTCTCAGAGAGCTACATGACAGTGTCATGAAGATACAAATAAGATCCTCACCTTCTGACTGTAGATCGCGCTGTATTTGGCCAGGTACCTGTCCTGGCAGCCTGCCCAGCCTAGAAGGATCACCACAGGCTGACCATCTGTATTGCTTTTCTCTGTACTGCTCTCTGAAAGAAACCACAAGGTTTAAAATAATTCTCCAATCTACCACAACCAGAACTCATGGCGACTTGCCTGGTTAACAGAGTTTAAAGGTAACGGTGAAGCAGGTATTAGCTTAACGCCTATGAGCTATGAACACTGCCTCATCCCAGTCTCACTGTGGGGGCGTGCTCAGAACTGCACAGCTTCAATCCCTGCAGCTTCCCAGAGCTCCCCACTGCAGCGTGCAGACCGCGACGGAGGGCAGAGATCCCCTCCTCACGCCCCCCGGGAGGCATCAGAGCCTGCTGCCCACTGCCAGGGCTGGGGGAAGCGTCCTGCCCTGCCCTCCAGGAACTGCCAGGCACCTGGTACGGCACAAGCGCCTCCACGGCTCACCTCCCCCATGCCCTGAAGGGTCGCCTAGGCCCGGTTCCCCTTTCCCCAGCCCTCAGGGGTCCCCCAGGCCCGGTC